TACAGAGGCTATGAAAATACTACGGCTTGGAGAGGCTATGAAAATACTAAAGCCTGGAGAGACTATGAAAATACTACGACCTGGAGAGGCTACGAAAATACTACAACAACAGAGAAGGTTACCTACCTTTAGAAGAGGCTGGTTGAAGCCTTAAAATATCAGTCAGCCTGGAAAGGCTACGAAAATACTCCCTCTTAAACAAGCAACAAATAAAGGGACACAATATCACAAGAGAAATAATGGAGCTTTTACTCGAAGACTGAAGATCAGGTGCACAGTTTGTCAGCCTTGTTACCCAATAGAGTACACAACCAACACTCAACTGCTCTAAAAGGTGGAGATACGAGCAAGTACACCTATCCAAGGGAAGTAATGCAGAAGCGCCAGCACCAAAGAAACGAAGAGAAGACCCAGACGAAATGTCTACGTCTTTACTTGCCTTTGGAAAAGCAACACATAGCTATTCCAAAGGACAAGTAAAGAGGGGCAGCTGTAGACACCCAATTTTGTCGGAGCTCACAAAAGCAATGAAATAAAGTCTATTATCAAGGAAAGGAGCTCTCGAAGCATGGAAACAACAAGACATGACATCAGAAGACCTAAAGCCTAAATAAGCTAGTTTTAGTAGCCTAGAACGGGACGTTCCCAAGACCGGAACGAGCTATTCCCAAAACGAAACAGCCCGTTCCATAACAGGTTATTTTAAACAAGATTTGAACCCAAAACGGGCCGTTCTGCTTTATGAACGGGCCGTTCTGCTTTACGAACGGGCCATTCTAGATTCTTATTTTACCCATAATAGACTTTCCCAGAATGGGTCGTTCTAAATAGGGAACAGGTCGTTCCAAATCATCAAATGGGCCTAAAACCCTAGTTTGGAACGAGCCGTTCCGAAATAGCTTGTTGTAAGTAAAATTCAAACCCAGAACGGGCCGTTCCACTTTTGGAACGGGCCGTTCCAGATTCTTATTTTACCCAAAACGGACTAGCTCAGAACGGGCCGTTTTGAATCTGGAACGGGCCATTTTGGCCCCCTTCTAATGCCTATAAATAAACAGCTCGAACACAGTTCTCAGGGCTCCAAATTTCATCCAGACTCCTTAGAGCTCAAAATTTCTCTCTTTTTCTCTTTCTCTCTCTTTTGTATTTCTTGAGATTTGTGAGGCATATTGTAGTGTGAAAGGTTGCCACAAAGCACCTAAAATCTCCCTATTTTGAAGATTCAATAGAGCTCATTCAGGAGGTATTTCAGTTAATCTCTTTCTCTCTTTTTTTATTTCTTATCTATAATAAATATTGTTATAATAAAAACAATCATGAAGACATTTTAGGGTTAATTGTATCATTTAAATTTCAAGCATGTAAATAGTTATTAATAAAGGGGATCTAATATTTAATTTATTAATTCTTATCATGTTAACTTCATCATAGGGTACTGATTGAGGGCGTTGTAGGGGTGCTTAATACCTTCCCTACACATAACCAACTCCCGAACCCAATTTTGGTTATCAAGGCCATTGTTGAATTTTTAAAAAACCTTTTCTTTTTCCAATGTTTTGAGTAACACGTAACCAACCCCCGAACCCAATTCTGGTTATCAAGGCCATTATTGGATTCTTTTTAAAAAAAAAACTTTTCTTTTTCCAATGTTTTGAGTAAAACATTGGGGGCGACTCCATGAACCTATTTTTAAAACCATTAATTAAGGATTAGTCTGGTGTCCGGGCATTGCTTAATTGATGAGATCTTCAAAAGGATGTCTAAACCATAGGTCGCAAGATCGGAAATTTTCGGGTTGCGACAATCACCAAGCTTGAGAGCCAATTTACTCAAGAGGACTACAACACTCTACAACTCAACATAAAAGCTAGATACATTTTGGATTGCTCCTTGTTTAGAACAAAGTACAATGAGTTCTGGAGCTACTTTATAGCCAAAGAGATGTGGGAGGACATCAGGATAACTCATGAGGGTACTGAAGATGTTAGCTCAAATGAGTTGTCACTCTTTAAGGTCATTATGATTTGTTCTCCATGAAGGAGAATGAGAACATTGACAAAATGTTTGGGAGATTCCAAAAATTCTATATGGGTGAAAATCCTTAGGAATTGAGTTTTCAAAAGCTCACAACAACCTTAAGGTCTTGGATAGTCTTCCAAAGATTTGGGAGCCCAAAGCCACAACAATTTCATAAGCATGTGACTTGAAGGCTCTTACTCTTGATGAACTTCTTGGAGCTCTATGAGTTCATGAAGTTCACTTAAACAACAGAGACCATTTTAAAGCTAACAAGTTAGTTGCTTTAAGAAGTGGTGAAACCAGTACGAGAAGAGAAAAGAGAAAAACTCAAAAGGTTGAGTCTAAGCCCAACAGCTCATATGACAACTTTGAGAACTATAAAGATAATGAGATATATCTCATGTCTAAAATGTTCAAAGACATGTTGAAAAAACAAAGGAAGATTGAGCAACTTCCAGAAAAGAAGGACAAGTTCAAGAAACCTAGCCAAAATGTTAACAAGGAGGTCATCCTTTATGAGTGTAAGAAGCATGGACATATGAAAGATGAATTTCCTACACTAAGAAAGTGATGGACCAATAGAAAGATTACCATGTAAAGCTTAATGGCCACCTGAGAGGATCTGGGCAACAATAAAAGTAGTAATGCAGATGAAGAGAAAGCTAACATATATCTCATGACGGATAGTGGCTCTAAGTTTGACGATATAAAGATTGAGGTAAAAAATTTTATCCCAACTCATGTTCATCTGATTATGATGAGGAAGAGATGTCCTATGAGACTCTCTTAAAAAACTTTCACATGATCTTTCTTGAAGACAAGAAACTCAAAGAAAAATGTAAAAGTTTACAAAATGAAAATGAAAAACTCAAGATGAACATGTCAAATGCTACAAGAGAGATACAAACTCTCAAGGAAAAGATCATCAGTAGAGTCCCACCTAAGGTTATAGCATTAGAAGTTGCAATGTACAACTCAGAAGGGATATGACTAAATTTGTTGATAGGTCTTCAAAACTAAACATACTTTTGAAACATATAAGACTTCCATCAAACAAAAGTGATCTTGGCTTTGACTCTGGATCTAGGACATTTTGATCAAAACCTAAGACTACTTTCCACAAAGCCAATGGAAAAGGAGAATAAGCTATAAACAGATGAAAAGATAAATCAAAGGTCATGGGTACTAACAAGAAAGGCCCAAAAATGATTTAGGTACCAAAATCACAGATAATCTTTGTTGTAGATATCCTTGGTAGGGAAAAGAAATAATTCACACTGGTACATGAAAAATGGATGCTCATAATATATGATGGGAGAAAAGGTCTATGTTCTTAAACCTTTAACCTCATAAAGGTTTCATCTCCTTCAGAGGAAACAAAAAAGGAAATATCAGAGGTATAGGTAAGATAGGTAAAAATTTTATACCTACTACAAATAATGTTTTGTGTGTTGAAGGATTAAAGTATAATGTATACCAAAAACTCGCACCTTTTGAAATGTAGTGAAGTTGTAAAAGCTTTGACAGACGAAGTGCTGAAATGTAACAGATGGAGTATAGATCTTTTATATTGGTTTGTCTCAAATACAGAAACTACATCCAATTTTCAATCCAACCAGATTGAGTTTCACTATCTTTCTTAAGATACTAGTAATCTTTCAACAAGCCACTTCTAGCTCAACTCTAAGTAGTCTTTAACTTGCCTCTTCAAGCAATTACCCAAGTATTCTTTCAACAAGGCTCTCCAGGTTCAACACCAATTATTCTTTTCAACTCAACCTCTCTAGGCTCAAATACTAAGTATTCTTTCAACAAGCCTCTCTAGGCTCAACCCTTACAACAAAGGTAATGAATGATTACAAGATTAACAATGAAAGCTTAAATAGTCTACAAAGAACTACGTACAAGATTTATAATGAAAAGATTCTTTATAGTACTTCAACTTTATATGTTTCAATATGCTTCTCAATACAAACTTCTCAACATATGTTGATTTCCTAATTTACAATACTTCTCTCATTATTTGTTGTTTGAAGGCTTGATCCTTTTATAGTAACTTGGATATTCCATCTAACTTCTTGTCATACTCCATCTAACTAGCATTACTGTTTCACTACCAAAACGTGAGTATTTGATATATACTATTTAACCCCTTTTTAATGTTTATCTTTTCTCCCCATTTATTAGCATTTCACACCCTCTAAAAAAAGCTTTCCACTTCTTGCATACTATTTTACAATAAGCCCCACCCCATATACTCACCCACTTTTACGGTAAACTCTATCCCATCAGATTTTGTCATACATGGATTGGAAATCTACTGTTTGTCTAAGTCACTTATAACTTTCTCCTTGTCACTTTCATCCATCATTTATTTAGTAGAATAAATGAATACATAACCTTGATTGTGAAGGAGCTGAGGAGCCATGTTGCCCATACCCTACATACGAAAAGTCCTTTTTTATTATTATTAAAGGTAGCCGAGTGAAAAGACATTAAAAGGGCTATTATTATTAAATGAATACATAACCTCAATTACAAAAGAGTTGAGGAGTTCTGCACTTCAAATGAAGAGTCTCTTTTTATTATAATTAAAGGTTGTTGATTGAATAGACATTAAAAGGGGTTATTATCATTAGTAGAATTAATACAAAATAAATTATCTTTATTTTTGCAAAATTACATGCATTTTTTTTCCAGAATTAACGAAGAATAAATCAACACCATTATTTATATATATATATATATATATATATATAAAATAAAGATAAGATATTTTATCATTCTCCTTTAGAATATCTGTAATTCAAATCCGTTCTCTTTTTAAAGTTTGAACATGTAATTCAAACCCTCTTTTGTTTTAGTAATTAAACATGACTCAATTCTGGAATTTTTATTAAAACAACGTTTCTCGTGAAAACAAAGGGGGTTGACCCAAGAAATTAAACACTCCATCCATCGTAGGAATCGATAACACCTGCTTAAGTTCACATACTAGAAGCATGTTTCATAACAATTCATAACGTTAAATTGGCACAGATGCAATAAAAGTGTATAAAAGTTTCACGTTGCAGTAACGACTATTTACACTGTTTTGGTCTAAAATTTTCAGAATCTAACAGTTTGACTATTAGTTTCTCTAGCTTCTTTGATCTTAAAGTAGGTTTAACTACAATTGGATTTCCATAAACTGAACAAGGGTCTTTTCCCAAAAGAGGATTCCCAATACACCAACCTCCAGGTGTAAAATGACCAACTGATCTTCTCAAGAGTTCCTTGTCAATTTTGTTGAGAACCGGTTCATCCTTGGTGAACTTTCGAGCAAAAGGTGCACCACTTTGGACCATGTCATCAAAATGCTCCAATTTCAAGAACATTGGACTCTGCTTTGGTGGGTTGTCCCACCTTATATAATGTAAATCATGATTGATGGTAGTATTTTGGTAATCCTTATGATTGCAAATGACCGTGTGAAAGTAGCCCTCAGGGGATGAAAGAAAATTTGTGTAATACATAAGGAGGGTGCGAGGAAGATTGTCCCAACCCCAAACACAAAACTCAAGAAAAGATTTTGTCAGGACAACCCATGGAGACCCTGGATGGAAGCCACAAAATACCCATTAGCTAATGAGGTATATTTCAATCTCAATAAGTACTTATAAGAATAGAAAGTAAGAAGATAAAGGGCTATTTGAGAAAACTTAGCTAGAAGCACTTCTTGAAGAGAAAAATAAAAGGCAAAATAAATAATTTTCTTCAAAAACAAAAATTAACTTATGGATAAGCTAATTTGTAAAAATTATTTCCTATTAACTTCTTCAAGATCTTATTTTTAACTTATGAATAACTTGGTTTTAATTTATAGAGAAATTAATTTCAATTTTTTCCCAGAAGTGGTTTTAGAGAAGCTTATCGAAATATGCCTAAAATAGATTAGGTTTCTCCCATATGTTAAAACCAACTTGGACACTTCAACCATTAGGCAAAAAATGATCCATGTGTTTTACTGTTGTCAACTCCTTTATCGCCAAATGCGCTTTTCATTCCACACTAAGTATGATGTATCTAGCAAGATTTTTTTTTGTAAATGTGATATTGTTATAAAGTATCAACTATCAAAAATGTGATTAATCTTCATTGGAGATCGTGAACAAGTTTACTATGCTATACAAAAGCTCTACGCAATGAACATAATTTAAAAACAAGAACAAGACCTCTTAGAAAGTGGGTTAAAAGCCTAAATCAACCTTATAAAATCGGTTTGTAAGTTGAGGATTGTCCCTCATTTATACAATCTTTAATTGTTTTATCTTTAGTCGATGTGAAACTTACATTTTTTCAATACACCCTCCTCCCATCCAGCACTATTAGACTTGTTACGTGGATAAATGATAAGTAACCCCTTTTAATGATCTAAGATAGGTGGGACTTAGATTTTTCTTAATAAGACTAGTAATGTTTCCAGAAATATAGCTATGGGCCAAAGAGAGCTACATTGCAACCTTCTAAAGAAAATTATCGCCTTAAAGAATATGTACCCTCTGAAAGTAGACAACAATATAAACTTCTTTTGGATAAATCTACAAGAAGCAAAAGAATATTGAGATGTTTGAAAGACTTAATTTGATAGCAGTGCCGTGGATAAAATAGAAAAATCGGTACATGCAATATAAATGACTGTTTCTGTGCAAACTTGTTTGTTTGAACGCTTGGCCTTCCCTATTGGCTATCAGCAAATCTGTTATTATGTTGAGCTATTATCAATAAGAAATCACAGCACGTGCAAAGCCTATCATGCATGCCGAAGTCAAATTATTACTTTATGACACTGATCTTTATCACAATGAAACAAGATAACTTACAAGGCAGAATAGAGGTGATTCAGAGAAACTTAAGCAGCATATATTTAAAAAAAAATGAAAAGAGAAAAAGACAGGGATATGTTAGGACCTAGTAGAAAATAAGAAAACCAAAGCTGTAGAAATAAATAATACCTGTGAATAACTTGAACGAAGATGGAACAGATCTTTTCTCTTTAGCCCAGTAGACACCAGATTTCTTTGAATGATATAAGCCTGTATCTATAATGATGGGCCTAGCTCTTTGATGCCTGCTGCCAAAGTTACAGTTACTACTTACAAGTACACCAATCATGAACAAATAGTTTACCAACCAACTGAGACAATATCAATGGATAGATAATATACATACTCTTTCCAGCCGATATTACTTGTATGCTCAATGAAATTTAGGTCCCTAGGCAAGAATGAAAGGATGTGCAAGAGATCTGAAACAAGTTATATGGAAAAATGTCAGCAAAATAAGCATAATTTATATATGTGAAACAACAACAGACTTGGATTTATTTATAGGAAGCCAAAACACTCAAGGAAAGTACTCATTGATATATTTGACATAAAAACGACAAAATTAGATGAGAATGATCAAATGAAAACTTGAAACATTTCCTTCCTATCCATATACTATTAGAAACCTCTTATCTTATCAGAAAAAAAAAAAAAAGAAAAAAAAAGATTAAGTACCTTTTTGTCCCTATAGTTTTATAAAATTTATCTTTTAGTCCGTATAGTTAAAAACATTTTACTTTAGTCTCTACATATTCCATTTTTATTTCCTTTTATTCCCTATTGTCTATTATTCTAGGGACAAAAAGGTTAAAGTTTATAAAATTATAGGGACAAAAAGAAACAGAAACAGTATGTGTAAGGACTAAAATGGAATGTTTGTAATTATAAAGATTAAAAGGTAAAGTTTGTAAAACTATAGGAACAAAAAATATAATTAAGCTTAGAAAAAATAATGGAGTTCTCCCTCAAATATAATGCCTAGCTTGCAGATCCTCCAGTTTGCGCCTCCCAATGCTCAAAGGCCCCAATTCTCTCACAAATGAGAACATAATCTCTCCACCACGATCTCATTTTTAAGTAACATGCCTTATTTCTTCAACCAACTAACCTAACTAACAATCTAATGGGAATTCATCATATTCCCTGCTACTTTGTAGAAGCCTATTAACAAAATGAAATTAATTTTGTGACATCGATGTTTATGATAGGTGAAAAATTCTATCCATAGACTGATTATGCCCAAAACAGAATTAGAAGAGAGACAGTATTGTTGTTGAGAAAATGTAAGAAGATGCAGAAAATAGTAACAGCACAAGCTCCCAGTCAGGGAGAAATCCTTTGGCCCCAAGCACAATGTGGAGTATGCCTAGTGAGGCTTTGGTGGAGAAGGAAAACAAGGGATTTTTATTTTATTTTAAATTAAGATAGTTATACCATGTTTATAAAAATAAATAAAAGATTACGGCATTACGTTTATGCCAATATATTATTTTTTTTCTTTAAACAAACTTAATAAACTAGAGAATATTTATTAGAAATGAAAAATTTGTCCTCCCTTCCCTTTACCTCCAAAACCTAATTCCCAAGCATACTCTCAGTAGCCACCAGGTAGGATCCTAGTTCACTGAGTTAATTTGGATCCAGTTTCCTACCAGTTTATAACCAATATGAATGGAATAGAAGACACTTCTTTTTAAGGGTTAGCTTTCTGTTTATTCACTACCACAATGCATGAACCTTGAAAGTACACTTGTTGCAAAGAGAACGTCAAATCTATCTGTAGTAAGGTACATTAAGCAACCAGTTAGGCTTAAGGTACATTACATAATCAATTAGACTTCTGCAATGCTTTACATCAACTTTATTAGCTTTGTCATCCATGTTCATTGGAGTTGTAGTGCTTTTGTAGTCCTCCATATGAAATTCTTTTTAAGTATTTCCCTTGCATACTTCATTTGGCAAATGAAGACTCCATCACGATCTTTTTTTACCTCCATTTCCAAAAAGGTCATCAAGCCAAGGTCTATCATTTGAAATGCTTTGAGCATTTCATCTTTAAACTCCTTTACGAGTTTCTCATCACTTCCTATCACAAGCAAATCATCAACTTAGATAGCAATTATGATTAAGTTAGCATCTAACAACTTCACATATAATGCAGCTTCACTTGAACTTTTGACAAATCCAAGATCTTGAAGGTGATCATCTATCATGCTATATCAAGCTCTAGGGTCCTATTTAAGATCATAAAGGGCTTTCTTTTAACTTGTAAACTTTCTCCTCCTATCCATTGATTTGAAATCCCTCGAGCTATTTAACAAATATCACCTTCTGCAAATAACCATTTAGAAAAGCAGATTTTACATCTAAATGATAAATTTTCCTTCCTTTATGCACAATCACAGCAAGTAGCATTCTATTTGTATCAAGGTGTACAATCGGAGCAAACATTTCTTGTATTGCTTCCTTTTGTTGTTCTTCTTATATATGCCCCCTCCTGAGTGTTGTGCTTGGAAAGCACCTTGTATTGTAATCTCCTATCTCATCATTCTTCTTTGCTTCTGCCAAGGTGATCTTGGACATATCCTTTGTGTTCTCCAAAGTTGTTATAGAGACTTTATATTTTTCAGGCACTGTTACAAGAATTTTTTGTATAATTCTTGCATTTGCAAATTTTGTGGTCAATAACCTTACCTTGTTAGCAATGTAAAGCAACCTGTTTAAGTACTCTTTGATTGACTCACACTCGTCCGTCCTTTGCAATTTGAATTCTCGTATTAAATTCAAAACTTGCATGTCTCGTATCCGGTCATTTCCAGCATACTCTTCCTTCAAATAATTTCATATTGCTCTTATGGTTTTAAGAATCATGATTCTTTTGAAAATTGTTTTCGAAACTTCAGCAAATAGACAAGCTTTTGCCTTTGCTTTTCTGGTTTTTTTTTCCTTGTGATTTTTCATCTGGGCCACTGTGGAATTGTTAGGTAGTAGAGGAACATTGTAATCTTCTTCTACAGTTTCCCAGAGACCTAAAGCCTTCAAGTAGGACTCCATTCTCACAGCCCATACGTTGTAGTTTTCTCCATCAAATATAGGAAGAGCAGCCTATGAAAAACTTGCCTCAGCATCCATAACACAGGTCCCGTAAGAAGTCTGCTCTGTATAACACTTTGTTGATTATTGGAAATATTAAAAGCTAAAGTAGAGAGGAAACGTAGAAGAAATTGGAACTGCAGAATGCATATTTTATTCAGAGATAGAGCAACGTATTTATAAACAGAATAGCCAAAAGAAAACTTCTAATAAATAGGCAAAACCACTAACAAACTGTGCCTAAAAAATAGGAAGATAAAACAGCTTTATTGAATTAGTCAACATGACTTTTATTTTCCTATAAAAATAGCATAAGATCTGCGGTTTGTTAACAGTTTCCAACAGTCATCCCTTCAGCAGCATCCTTGTAATTCAGCTCGAGCAATAAGGGAAATGCATGATATTTAACCTATAGTTCTAGTTCCAAATGTTATTTAGTTAATAACCTATACATATATTCTCTCGTTCAGGATAGCTATTATTCAGGCCAACCAGTTTCTATTATTCATTTGGGGATTTAACCTCAGTACCTGCCAAAGTCCTTGAGAAGAAAACCACAAAATAATGAAATCGTGTTTCATACATAGTGAAATCACTGAACACACTATATGAGATACAAATGCAATTAAGTTCCGCTTCTGACAATCATACCCGAAAACATGGAAAGGAATTAACTTAAAAAATTTTAGCCATGTAAAAAGGAAGAAAGGGAGATCAAAGAGGATTTTAAAGGAAATTGTTAAGAGGGACCACCTGGTTAGTAACATATGAAGATTTAGTCTTTAAATGAGCTGAATAGCATCATGCGATCTATGTCGCCAACCTCACCTAGTAGGACAAGAATTTGTTGTTGTTATTGTATAGACTAATCAGTAACGATTTATAAATGGCCCAGGTGAGTCTAGCTTGGAGTCTAGGAGGATAAGAATAAATTATCTAATCATCATTACCATAAGAAAAAATGTTGAACATTAAAATTAATTAAGCAAATTACAAATCCTATCACTGTGTAATTATGTCCAGAACCAACAAAGCTTGTAAAAGATCCACAAACATACCCAATTTATCTATCATTAGTCACTCTCAATTTAGTATTTACCATTATCTACTTAGAATTTGATTGTGAGTCTAATTCAACCCCCAAAGTTAGTTCATGAGGTGAGGAAGGACCCCTACATGTATATACACTGTTACAAATCAACATATGAGATCTTCAATACACACACACCATGCCAAGGACCAAGCAGGATTACACATCTCTAGTGGTTTGATAACATCTCTGTTGGAGATCTAACATGGACCAATGGTATGGTCAATTTAGTGTATAAGTAAAGAGCAATCATCACCTTACAAATCAATTTTGTAAAGTTGAATTAGACTCCAATCACTTCTTTAATATGCTTTCAAATCCTATCCTAACGATTATTGACTGTTGTTGGACTAATGAGACTACCTACTATTAGGCCTTTATTATGTCTAGCCCTCCAAACTTTACAAGAATTAGACTCCAATCACTTCGTTAACATGGTTTCATATCTTATCGTATTAATTATTGATTGTTGTTGGACTAATGAGACTACCTACTATAAGGCCTTTACTATGTCCAGTCCTCCAAACTTTACAAGTCAGCTCTATAAAGTTGAGTTAGACTCTAATCCCTTCTTTAACATGGTTCGAAATCCTATCCTAAAGATTATTGATTATTGTGAGACTAATGAGGCCACCTACTATCAGGCCTTTACTATGTGGAGTCCTCCAAACTTCTCCCACATACAATGAGAGTTGTTCACAACTTAAATAGACTATGTTACCGAATGTGGGATCTATATATCGACAAGAGAGCAATAGGAGACATTTAAAAAGCAACGAGGAGTAACTGACCATCCTGGGAGAGGAGAGGGTAATCAGAGGCACTGAGATTGAGAAACCAATCCCAATGGGGAAGCCTCTTGAGCAACAGCGCAATCCCGTGAAGAGTAGAAGCGGTCATGGTGGGGCCCTTGTGGGTGACCAAATCAGGCTTACCCACGACCATGACGTTCCGAAACGCCGCAAAGACAGTCTCGGACTTGACGTATTTGGCAAGCTCAAGCCTCTCGGCATCGGAAGCTTCTAGATCGAGATGGAGCAGGTAGTAGTTCCTGGGGTGGTACACTGCCTGAAGGACCCTCTTCATCTGCGCTCCCTCCCCTTTGGTGCCCGACAACATGTACGCCAATCTAGGAAGACCCACTTCTAGCTTTTCCGTCAAATTCAGCGAAGAAGACCACGCTGCAGAAGCAGCATAAGAAGAAGAAGAAGAAGAAGAGGGTTTGGTGTGGGGAAGGAGAAGAAGGAGGAGGAAGAGAATGCATATTGTGACGGTGGTGATGACCATCACCCATTTGCGTGGGGGTCGGTAGGGGTGGTGCTGGAAATTGTGGTTTCGTTTCATGTTTTTCGATTTCCAACTGTTACCACTTGTGGGTGGTTCGGTTTACCCTCTCATTCATTCTTATGTTTTTTGTCGGCCTCGATGTTTTTGTTTGTGTCAGAAAATTGTAAATCCGCAGACCGAGAGGGAAATACTACCTTGTTTTAGATTTGGAAAACATTGTGATGGAGACCTACTAACTAGCGTGGGTGAAAGATGGTGTCAAATAAGGTGGTACTCTAAATGAATCGTTGAAAATGAACCTCGGATTGATTAATATAAAAATCAAGGTTTAAATTTTATTTTTTTTAGAAAGATTTAAATATATTTTTAGTATATACAATGAGAAAATTTTTTAAAAAATTGTTTTTAAAAAAATCTATATTTTATCCATCTAAAATTTAGATATAATATTTTTAGTTCTTGTTATATGATTATTTTTAATTATTTATTTGTTTATTGAAAGATTAAATGTTATTTCAAATGTTATTCACAATCATTAGTATATAATACTTTTAAATAATTTTTAGATTTTTAAAATAAAAATTATTTATCTATCAAGGATTATTAAAGATAAAAAATAATGATTTTAAAATTTAAAGGAATGAAAATAA